CAATACATGTATACGGAAACAAAAGTGTTTAAACGACCTAGAATTATTTGTGTATAAAGAGCGCAATGACGGTTTGTGCTCGTAATACGCACAAGATGTTTTCCACCACCATTGTTAATTTATAATTACACACAAATAACTTTTAAGATATCTTTATAAAATAAAATTTAGGTTATGTTTGCTTTTTAAGGTTATATTATTACCGGAATCGCGACTGTGATTGGTGTAGAAACAACCACTGTGAAATCAGCGGATTTAGCGAGTGGTATGATCCATTCTCGCTCTAGAGCGACAGTGAGCTATTTTACGTAATGTTTACAGGCATGTCAATGGGATAATTTACATGCAGTGGTAGTAAAAATATTGCTCTACTAAGTCTTGAAAGTATCGCCTGTCCTTAGACATTAATAGTAGAATAGAGTTCTACTACCTGAGCCATTGAGATGATAAGAAACAAATCAAACTGTACTAAAATAAATTAAGTGTACATACAACCTTAAAAATTAGAAAAATCAACTTTGTTCTTTAACTGTACTATGGATTAGTAGTATGGTGCTATTTTAGGTTAACAAGTTAGTTGAATAACTAATAACCAAGCTATTTATCGAACTACAGTATCGTATTAATGTGGTGAGCTTTTACATCGCAGTAATGTCACAGTTCGAACAGCTGATTGAATTATGACATCACAGTTTATAATATGGCTCCGAATTAGAAGTTGTGGATTAAAGAAATACAATAATTTAAACAGACATATAGGTAACAAGGGATATTTTAACCATGCACATTATTCAGTGTTTTATTTATTTATTTATTCATATCAACGGTCGAACCAACACATAATTATGACAAAACGTAATAAGTTTAAAAAAGAGACAATTTGAAAATCATTTTAACAGCCAACTTGAAGTAGATGTTCAAAAGATTGAGGAATAAATATAACAACAAAAAGATATAAAATATAACAATTTAACAAGATATAACAATGAAATAGGAAATAAATATAACAAAGTATAATAGATAACAATATAAAAAGGAAATGTAGCAATAGTAGATAATGAATAAATCTTCATTCTTAGTAGAATGTTTATTACTTTCTCTCTAAACCTAAAAATACTGTACAGTGTTTCTACAAATCTTGCATGGATATATTTTTGTGGTACTTAACATTTTTTTGGAAATCTGTTAGTAAAAATACCTAAAAATTGTTGTTGTTGGAAATTAGACCTATCGCTTCATACAAAAACAGAAGATCTTCAAACAAATCAAAAAATGTAATTTACCAACCAACTATTATATTCTCATCAAACATTCATTCTCAAACGCCTACCTGAATCGTATTCATTTTTCAGTATTTTTTTCAAACGTTTTTTGTATTCGCATATAGGAACGTATCCGCACGGACATCACTTACCAATCTACTTTTTCGGGTTCAAGGAAACACAAAAACGGAATTTTCCGAATAGAACAAAAAATCGGAAATTTGACGAAAACCATATTTTCTCTATACACTATGTATAGGGGGGATAAAGTAAAAGTGAAAAACTAGAGTAATTTAGCATTATCTTTTCATATTTATATTTGAAACTTACCAAAACACGCTTTTCATGAAAAACGTGGAAGAATTGAATTGAATTTACCAAACCGATAGAACGGATTACGAGGAATTATATGAGATACTGACTCAATTTACAGCATAGATAATTACTCGATTTTTTCGCTAGGCATACAAATTCGCTTCGGCTTGTTGCGTGTAAGTAATTTAATTGACACGTCCGGAACAGCGATTCGTAATGCGCGAAACCTGCCACAAATATGATATATGGATCGTGTACGACGCCTATGATGAATAGCACCTTACCAAGTTATGGCTAATTACCTTTCTATCAGATGGTTACAAATTAACAGATAACACTTTTTAATTTATCGTAGTTTGCCGAACCCTAACCTCAGCCTACTGTTTACAGTACACACTGTTATGTGGAAGGGGCATCCATGACAGGGGACTCAATAGTGACGACGCCGACCGTGAACCTAGTTAGCTTTGTTGCATTCCGAGATCTCAGATATCGTAGCGTTAATTGTAGGATCAGTGAGATCCTTGATTTCCGACACTATCTTGATGAATGTAGAGCAAAATGTGATGTTTTGAGAACGGCGCATAGAGCTACCCTCATAAATAGAAAGGGTTCCGACCACGCCTCTCGGCGGAAGCTATCCGTCTAGCGAGGCACATCCGCCACCGCCGCGCCACTCCGGCCGCCATCTTATATATATGAAACTGAAAAAAATGAGTGCCGAGTTTTGGGTACTGGTCTCTGGAATACAAGTTGAAACAAACTGGGGCCCACATGTGGGCTTTGACCATGTCACCCTAGTCACCATGCAAACGCTATCGACAAGGTTGAAAGAAAATCAATAAATACGTTAATCAGTCCTAAATAAATAAACAAAATCTTAATAAATGAAAATGTACTCGTTCGTATTCAGAGTTATGCAAATTTTTTAATAATTCTTAATTTGTATTTTTATTGTAATTTGAAATTGGGTAAAGTTTAAAAAGTCTTTGAATTCACATTCCTTTTTGTGTTCATTATTTACAAGGATATTTCAAAAGTAAAATCAATAAAGTAACATTTTAAAACCTAAATAAATTTGAAAAACGCAGTTTTGGCGTGACTAGGATAATAGGTTATTATCCTACTGATTTTTTAATCAGGCTAATTTTATTTTACGAATGACGAACCACATGTTGTCAATGAAAACTTGGCATGATCACAATGAATTATCTGAATTATGCTAAAGAATCTGCTCCGTATAGCACAAACATGTTGTTCTTAGGGCCGAATCATCTTCTAAGTTCTAAGCTATTCTATGTCAGCAGTTAAGAGGCATTTATCAACGTTGGTCCAAAAAGAAGTAAGGATGCTTAAAAAGCTAGAATCACAATAAATAAGTGTAAATATTCCATTTAAATAAATTGTATTTCAAACAAATCGTGAAAATCAACCATAGTTTACTTCATTTTCAATTATTAACTCTATATTATTGTCTTTAAATTTAAAAACTCAAGAATGAAAGCAACGCAACATCATGATCTTCTCCCGCGGATATATCGTAATCATTTTCTTGCAATCACCAAAAAATAATTAGATTTGCACCCCTGAAAACTCCTGAATTATTTTTAATACCACCAGAAAATGCGGTAAACTTTGAACTTTCACATCCTTAAATTCTATTACGTTTGCTGTTAAACGACCGCTTGGCTACAACATTGGTGCATACTTCTCCTGGGAAGTACCTGCTAAAGAAGATGTCTAAGAAGAGCCTACTCGTACTTTTATAATACTATTTTACAATCAAAATATTGCTACTGGAATGGCTGGTGGAATGACAAGCTAATGATAATACTCTGTGCCGTGTGGGAGCCGCTCCGCACCCGGCGGCGACGAGGCTAATCCACGGGTCTACTCTCACAGCCAATATTTGACATAAGCGATTGTGACTCTTACGTCTTATTATCTGTACAGTAGCTTCTATAAGATTACAGTAAATAACCAACTTGAAAAAAGGGTGTTAGATAAAAGTATAACTAAACACTACAGACTTGGTCTTCACGAGACATAGCTCTTCGTGGTCAATCCCTTGAGACCAGGATTGCAGTGTTAGTGGCTGAGGACGATTTATCCAATGTTACAGTGTATCTGCTCAATATAGCATTTAGACTGCTTCAGAGTGGGTACCAAGAATCCATTTCATGACTGACTTTTTAATACTGAAGAAGACATCCCATATACTTAGAACGGCAGTAGTAATTTTTTTTTTTTTTTTTTTTTTTGAAAAATGAACATAACTTGGGCCGGCACAGAATGTGTGACGGAGGGGAATTAAATTTCTCCCTTCAATTTTTGTTGTTTTGACTGTTAATGTGACATGAAATATTAAATAGTTAAAAATTTATCCTCTTAGTTTGGTTCGGTTAAAAAGTAGGGGTATCGGACAGAAATCAGTAAGGCAGTAAGATTTACATCAACACATTCTGTTGGTGGTTTAACTCACTTGCATGCATTTTCATTCTAAAACTTGCTACAATTTAAACATGGGAATGTTAAAGATTTTATTGACTCAAAAAGATGTCTGAGCCCTCCTTCACTGTTGAACTCTGACCACATGTACAGTAATTTAAACGTATTTTTATTTTAATTTATTATAATTTAGTAAATAATGACCTATTTCTGTTTAAAATATATGAATGGCAAACTACTTTTGACTCTTCCAGCAATTTACTAGCTGTTGGTTGGTTTATTGAGATTAATATGAAAAAAACAAATAATATTGTTTATATTTTCTTCTTATATTACAGATTTCTTAGTTACTGTATTTTATATTATCAAGATTGAGTACAGGTGCGATAGAAATAAAAAAAAGGTTTCTAGGGTAATTTTACTGTGGAATGTATCTTGGGGTAATTGTTTACACGATAACTCTAAACAATGCAGAATCTGTTGCACCATTTACTTTCATTATGTAGTACATCTTTATAGGTTCACTCATTGTTGTGGTTTGCCCCTGAGCTGGTAAGACAAATATTAATAGTTGTTTATTTACCTTGTATTTTCGTCACAGCTCAAAAATGTTGTATAGAAGCTACAACCATGGTTTCGACGCCGTTTGCTCTCGCAAACGAAAACTAATCTTCGAACGCAAACGGCGTCGAAACCATGGTTGTAGCTTCTATACAACATTTTTGAGCTGTGACGAAAATACAAGGTAAATAAACCACTATTAATATGTATAGGTTCGATTTGTTTTCCATATTTTTTTCGCAGTTTTTATTTAAACTTAATCGATTAATTCAGGAATCTTTATCCAAACTCGAAGAAAATAAGTCGGGTAGTCTTTGAGGTGACAGTAAGTACGTTTGAATGGCAAAATATGAATTTTAATGTAGACTGAATTTTCCAAGGGAGTCTAATAGGCTATCAAGTGACTTATTACAGGTGGTTTGGTGAAGAAGACCGGAATACCGAAGAGGGAAGATAAACGTTTACAAAATAACATTATAAACTAATGGAATACTACGGAGTTTTCAACGAAGAAATAAAAACTACTGCAGATGGCGTAAAACCCCATAAAAGGTAAACCTAATGGTAAAGCTATGTTAATGCATTATGCTCTACAACATTTACTAACCAGAAATGTATTGATATAAACGAAGGAGTGGAAATATTTAGGCTATAATTTGAAATAGTTTACAATGTCAATACAGATAGCAGCACAGTATGGTTATAATGTTAAATTTTTTTTTTATTCTTTTTATCTTTATGAATTTAAGACTGATTCTGGTCATAAGAAATCATGTAGAGATCGAAATTGCAATTTTCAACGGCGTTGACAGGCGTATTATAGTTAGTGTAAGAAACTTAAAGAAACGGAGACTACCTCCAGACTTTAATGTTATGTATGTATGCTCCCTTTACTATATACAAACTATGTATGCTATGTTATATTATTTGAACCGTTTTTTGCTTGGAACAACAGGCAGTATCTGATTAAAATCTCCTCCAAAATATATTATTTTTCCGCCCTGTCCATAACCATTCCTTTTGCTGTGCACCATTCCTAAATACTCTCCTTCGTAGTCGCGGTCTTCCCCTAACGCAATACATTTCAACACAGCATTACCACTCTAACCCAAAAACAAACAGTAAAATCAATAAACAAACAATATGCAATATTTAAATCAGCTGATATGTTTCTCAGCTAATAGAAACAATGTAGCAGTACTTCCATTAGAAAATGACTGGACCTTTGACGCCCTGTGGGGCAGGTCAGGGGTAATTTTTAACACTTCTGATATTTTCTCTTCAATCTTCATTGAATCGTAATTGAATCCTCAATAGCCATGCTACCTTTTTCCTAGCTCGAGATATTTCTTGGGGACCTTCGCCTACGGAATTAAATATATAGATTTGCCATATCGTATACTTAATGTTTTGTGTGATTTTAATATTCAACGTTGTATACTGGTCGATTTATGCTGTGAGTAGCAATGAGCTGAAGCTGAACTTGGAGTTTTATAACATTTAAAGTTTAATGTTTTTTGCGGTTACTGGCCCTTTATGCTAAATTAAATATTTAGAATCTATAACCTAATTAGGATATTGGATAATCAATGTTGTATGTAATTTACTAATGATCAAAATACAAAATAATCAAAACCACCAGTAATATATCTTGATATATTGAATAACCCACACGATAAACATGGTAAACACATTACAGAGCATATTAGAACAGAAATGGTATGGATTACAAACATGGTAAATATATTACAGAGCATATTAGAACAGAAATGGTATGGATGATAAACATGGTAAACACATTACAGAGCATATTAGAACAGAAATGGTATGGATGATAAACATGGTAAACACATTACAGAGCATATTAGAACAGAAATGGTATGGATGACAAACATAAACAAATGAAGTCACTGGTCCAAATCGTTTAACCGTAAAATGAGGTTTGGTAGTATTTTTTACAGTTCCACTTCAATAATGTTAAAAGGGCCAGTCACGTAATTTGTTTATGTTTATGGTTTATACCGTTTCTGTTATAATATTCGTGTTACAGAGTCAAACTAATTTGCAGAATGTTTTACAATTTTATACACACATCGTGGCTCGTTACGTATCGTAATGAATAAAATAAATACATCGACGAATACTGGAACTAGAGTATGAGATTTAAACTTCAGAGAAATATCGTCCGAAATTACACGTTGGTTTGATATTTTTACTAAGAAATAGAAGGAAGTATTTTTAGGACATCCACATAATAATGAAAAAAATAATAATCATCTCTCTTCTTGAAGCTATAAAACTTAACGCACAAAATCTAAAAGTAACCGACAACCCTACCAGACTCAGCTACTGGGGTGTGTGTCACCCTGTTAGTAAACTTCTGCTTCCTCACTCAAACACCAGACAGGCGAGATGCAGTGGTGGGAGAGGGCTAGGTTTGCTGAGGAGGGGGAGCTCATGGCTGCGTTGTCCCCAAGTCTCCACGCCTATAACGCATATATTAGCTTATAAGCCGGACGGTGGCGCACTCCAACTCCGTGGCAGCTCGACAAACTAAACATATAGCCTCCAGCCAGCAACACACCGATTTCCGCGAATTATCATTTCAGCCTAATAATATTATCATAAAACTGTGAATTGGATTATTGAAATATCTCGACACTAGTCGCGGCGACTGTGCTCATTATGGGCCAGTTAGACCTGAAGATTGTGGGAGCTTCTTAACTAGGCGTGTAATATGTTTTTTCTATTCTTAGATTGGTTAATAACTATAGTCCATCGGTTTGTTCTGAATTTTTTTTAAATAAATACAAATATATTTCGAATTATCTATGATTAAATCATTGTTCCGAGTACAACGACTATTCCTTACTTTTAGTTGTAATTTTTACTTCCCTTGCCCAAAAATCTTTAAGTTTAAATATTGAATTCCTAACGTCATCGGTACTCATGATTATTTTTACTATTGCGAATATAATTTGTCATTAAATAGCTCTGTTTTGACATTTAATTGGAGGTGAAAGTGGACTTACAGCAAACTGGAAAGTATTGAGCAATTTGGCGAATGAGTCATAAACAGAACATTTTACTTGGCATTAAAACCACAAATTTATAAAAAAATGAAATAATTGAGTTATTTTGTTTATGAATAGAACATAAGGCATAGCATATTATTATGTGAAATATGAACCTGGCAATATGAATACACCAAATAAGCATAATGCTGATGATTACCTTAAAAACAGTGAACAAATGTTAATAATTAATAAATAGCTTTGTATCAGTATAATACTGTTAAATAAATGGTAAGTACTTTATAAAGTGAAACGTATACACTATTACTTATAAAAGATAAAAAATTCACCTACTTATTGCCTTATCCTAATACCTTATTAAAAAATTGCCATAAGCTACCACGTTAAACTAAATAAATATTGTTAAGTATAAAATAGTGCATAAAATTGTGTCTTTAAATAGTATACAGGGTGTTCATTTGAAAACTTTCCATATCTGTTGTGTGCAAAGGTAAGGCTTTTAACACTTGTTTGTTCTCATTTCCCCCTAATTTGGACATGCCAAATCCAATAAAATTATTTTCAATTTTGAAAAATGCCCCAAAAGGGCCCAATTTGGGGGGTTGGGGTGCTTTTTGAGAAATTTTCAAATGTAAACATGGGTTGTGTGATACATCAATTTAAAGGTCTAATCACCCCGATCATTTTGGTGCAAAAAAAGTTTAATTATCTTTAACCGTATTTACAGGGTGGGTCAAAACGTTTTAAAAAAGGACTTTGAAGTTAAGTACCGTATTACCCTAACTACTGAACGGAACAGCACCAAATTTCTTTCCTAGCTTATTCTTGAGCTACTCTTTAAGATAACTTGTAGTAAGGGCATTTTCCAAGTTATTTTCTAATTTTAAAAAAATCTCAAATTTTAAGAATAAAAGAAAGCTGAAAACTCAAAATTCTTAAATAGCAAGGTATAACAAATTTCATACCACGTGAAAGGTCCTTTTTTAACAAACATTTTACGTATTTAAGTTTTCTTTCTATCTCTTACTGTTTAAAAATTGCAGTAGAAAAACATAATTTTCTGTGGTAAAATTGTAACTAGTTTTCTAATAAAACAGCCAAAATTCGTCTCTAGACACATTAAATGGTGCAATAACTGAAGGAAACAATTCATAATTATTTTTAGGCAGATAAGCAAACAAGTCATTACGTTTTACTTTGTGAGAAACAAGTTTTATAGCTGATGAGAAAAACCCAAGCGTGGGCCGCTTTCTGTAGTACCATTGACTAGTCAATGGTAGTACTAATTTCAAAAGTACCATTTCCTGTAGTACCTAATCAAATATGGTGTAAACTTAAAAAAAATTACTTTATTTTACTTATTGGTCATAACAAAAGTGTTCCAGGATAACTGCAAAGTGTTTAACAATAGATATCCAGGTATAACCTTGAGTCATATGGCTGTAAATGATTTAGTTAGGAAGTTTTCTGAAACTGGCTCAGTTACCAATGAGAAAAGAACAGGATGAAGGGTCCAAGATGAATTCTGACACACGTAAAAGTAGTCGATCAATTTGTTATGAATCCTACTACATCGTTGAACAAAGTGCAATGTGTTTTATTAGAAAACTAGTTATAATTTTACCATGGAAAATTGTGTTTTTCCACTGCAATTTTTAAACGGTAAGAGATAGAAAGAAAACTTAAATACGTAAAATGTTTGTTAAAAAAGGACCTTTCACGTGGTATGAAATTTGTTATACCTTGCTATTTAAGAATTTTGAGTTTTCAGCTTTCTTTTATTCTTAAAATTTGAGATGTTTTAAAAATTAGAAAATAACTTGGAAAATGCCCTTACTACAAGTTATCTTAAAGAGTAGCTCAAGAATAAGCTTGGAAAGAAATTTGGCGCTGTTCCGTTCAGTAGTTAGGGTAATACGGTACTTAACTTCAAAGTCCTTTTTTAAAACGTTTTGACCCACCCTGTAAATACGGTTAAAGATAATTAAACTTTTTTTGCACCAAAATGATCGGGGTGATTAGACCTTTAAATTAATGTATCACACAACCCATGTTTACATTTGAAAATTTCTCAAAAAGCACCCCTACCCCCCAAATTGGGCCCTTTTGGGGCATTTTTCAAAATTGAAAATAATTTTATTGGATTTGGCATGTCCAAATTAGGGGGAAATGAGAACAAACAAGTGTTAAAAGCCTTACCTTTGCACACAACAGATATGGAAAGTTTTCAAATGAACACCCTGTATACACTTTAATATACAAGACTTTTCAATTCATACAAAATGCCATTCCGTTTACTCCGTCCGTTTACTTTTTGGTAGGCCTACCGACATCGGCCGGGTTCCCCAGCTTTGCCCTCCTGCATACGCAGTGAATTTTAAACTTGCAACAATAAGTATATCTTGAATTTGAAGATTTGTACACTTAAAACATTTCGTCAATGTAAACCTACAAATATTTCTCCAATAATAATGTAAATATTCAACTTCGCCCATGGAATTATCACAGTTCATTAAA